CCATACTCTAACTTTTCCCATTGTAATAGTACAACTTCCAGAACTACAAGTATACCTCAGACAGATATGTTCTGTGGATCAAAATCCTTCTTTGTTGTGTATGTACCTTGTTGAGTGTTGTTTCAAAAACTAGGAGATATCTAAACAAGTCATAGTGAAGGTGAACCTTGCTTGGCATTACTCAAACTTGAAATTACTGTGATCCAAAACTTTCTGTCAAGGTAATTGCTGTTTCATTGTTTTTAAAAACTTCATTTCTTGTCATAACACTGCAAGTTTTATCATAAATATTAAGTCCTGCACAGCTTCATGTTAAGATAATTTATTTCAAATTTTTCAACCTAAGTCAGTAAATGATAATCTAACTTGATTTTCATCATGTCTTAAATTGTAATTTTGGCTGAATTACTATTAATTATTTGTCTTCCATTATAAGATAGCGGTTGTTTTTTTCTATAATTTACTTTTGTACATAATTGGAAATGCAGTGATCCTGCAATCTCCTACAAACAATGTATTCAGTGTCCTTTATCATTGTCATGAGGTAGAAAATTCATGCTGGTGAAGTTTTTAACAAAATTTTTGTGTGTGTGAATATACCCTTAAGACAAGATTTTTTTGTGTGTGAACTCAGAAATTTATGCATGAAATACTCAGGGTTCCAGGTTATTGAGAATACTTAAATATGATACTGCTTTTTTGTCTTAGACTCTATCAGAAATTTAATCAGAGAAAACAGGTTATAACCAATCAAATTCCAACCTTTAACCCTATGCTGCTGACCAAATTTCTGAACCATCAGAGGCTGACATCACAAGGCATTTTCAATTGTAGCATCTGCTATATAATGGCCAAGTTCTTGACCATTTTGTCTATCCTGATTTAATACCCAGAGTACCTTGCCTGATATACTCCACTAAGCTTGAGGATCACTTTCCACTATGGGATGAAGAATTCATTCCTTCTTTGGATTCCCCATTACACCTTTCCTACCATTTGAAAAAGCAACACTGATGGCAAAGGAATTAGTGGCACCATACATTTCTTTCATCTCACACCTATGATAAAGTTTGATAATACTTCTCGCTCCTCTGTTTAAGTGGAAGACCAGTCTTCTGTTTCCTACACTACGGGGGCTGCCAAAATATACCTTGCCCTTACTAATGATGAAGAGCCAAATGAAAGCCTAGTTTCTGTCAAATCCCCTACAAAAGAAATAACAACAACACAGAAACAGCTTCAAGAATACCCTGATAAATACTTTCATGCATACATTCAGCAGAATCATAAAATCCCTAAGCCAGAGGATTCTCAAAGGGCTGTATAACAACAAAATTTCCAAGACATTTCTCAAGATAGTTGAAGATGATCTTATATCAATAGCCATGTCCACATCTCACACATCATTATCAATTTCAGTGAAAGTCAACATATTTCATACCATGGTGCAATATCTTTCAGCAGCACAATTCTAACATCAGTGATTATAGATACACCTGAACAAAGAGGTAAGAAAGAGGAGTAGATATTAGCTCTGTGGTGGCAGAAGAGATTTGGAATAAAAGAAAAACTAGCAAAGACAAGATGAGGCCTTTAAAAAGCAAATGCTCTAATTGTAAAAACCTCAGCAGAAAGAAAATAATTATCTGCAGTCTTAGGATGTCTCTTTTCCTCCTGTGAACACCATCATATACAAGCTCCACATACATGGATCCTTCCAATTGTTTGTGAAAAAACATTATGAAACTGCATTCCAGTCATGGAATTGCATGCCAAAGTTTTGTGGAAAAATGCAGTCACACTTAACTGAATTTCCAAAGGACTGACTTACTAGTGGTTTAATAAAACACAATTCTTATTCTAGAACCTCTATATATTATTATGTGTAATATATTTTGTGTGATACGTGTTATGTAGATATACGTATCTCAACTTAATTTCATCTAATGAAATAAAATAAAAAAATTAAGGTCAATTTAAAAATGATTAAAAAAAGATAAAGCATAATCAATGATGATCTCATATTGTATTATTTGATAACTTTTAAAACTAGGTATTTTAATCTATAATATAAATATTGTGTGTATTGTAGAAGTATTTCTTTTTGTGGATTGAAAGTGTATTTCTCCTTAAAAAAACCTTGTTTGCAGATGACTTAGTTTAAGATTGCTTTAATAAAAAAACAATTACAGAGAGTAAATATTTATTATTATTTTTTATTCACTCAAAAAATGTTGATAGCTGAATAACTCGCTCAATCGGTTCAAAACTACTAGTCATGGACTACTACATGCCTAACAACATAAAATACCTCTAAGTTGTTAACCTATCTGAATAAATAAGACTCTCTTGCTGTTGTCACATGCCAGTTAGACACAGACTAGAATGGTAATTTGTTTGATTTACTGATTTCTCATCATATACATTTCTACAATTTATTCCAGCCTATATTGTAAAATGCAAACATATTAATCATTTAACCCTCTTGCTACAGGTAAGTCCAAGTGTTCATGTAGATATACATATCCCAACTTAATTTCATCTAATGAAATAAAATTAATACATTAAGGTCAATTTATAAATGATTAAAAAAAGATAAGGCTTAATCAATGATGATCTCATATTGTATTCAGTTGCATTCAAAATTTATTATCAATGAATGTATATGAATAAACTTGACATGAAAATATAGTTAACAAATCAATTTTAATACAAGTTTTAAGCTCTTAATTTCAAAAGGAAATACCTAAAAACATCCTCAATCTCCCCTAGTATGAGAATCGTGATATTTGTTCTCTCTGTCTTCCCTCTTACCTAATTTATTTACCACCCCTCACTCTAAAGTACAGAATTTAACCTAAATTACTCATTATAATACAGATATTACTAAGGCAAAGTCCAATTTTTATAGCCTTCAATCTTATTTGTTTACAGAGTCATAAACTAAAAAAATCTGATCCACTTGCCACACCCACCTGTTACATCCTCTCTCTTTTCACAAGTTGCAAATAATTCTTTCTGATGTTTTACACTATATCAATTAAATCTAACAGAAAGAGGGTACCAAAAGGAAATAATATAAGCCCTTCTTGTTCTAGTTAGAAGACCAGTTAAATTATAATAGTTAGAGGATATTGTTTTCTTTGGGCATGTCATTATTCTGTGTTCTTAGGTGCATTTATTTAAGTAAATAAATATTATTTAGTGTACTAGTACCATCACTATAAAAATTAGGGTTAAGTTTCATCAGCAACTGACAGTAAAAAACATGATGTCAAAGGTAAGTATTATATTTCTTGGTTTTAATGTATATCCTTTACTTATGGCTATAAAAGTAATTAAAATGTAGAAATAGGAAACTTATTTGGTAAAATTATGTAAGATAATGTAAAATAATAATAATAATAATTCAACATGAGCTATGCTCGCTAGCAGTTTGTGTGTTACATCATTCAATACAGTAACACGAGATTTTGTGTCTTACATCATTCAATACAGTAACATGAGCTATGCTAGCTAGCAGTTTGTGTGTTACATCATTCAATACAGTAACATGAGCTATGCTAGCTAGCAGTTTGTGTGTTACATCATTCAATACAGTAACATGAGCTATGCATTTGCTGAGTGATTTACAATTTGTATGGCACAATTACTAGTTAGAATTGGTTCAAAGGGCAATAAAACAATAAAGTTAAATATAAATAGATGTAGATTGTTATGAGCCATACGCTATTTAGGATAAAGAATTGTAGTTTTCTCTCATGGTCTGCAGTCAATTTAGAAAGAAAAACGGGTAATTTAGGTTTTTTCCTTTTTTAGTTATAGTGGTTACAAAGTAGAGAAAATAACAGATAAAATGTAGTTTTACTGAAAAATAAATGTTTGATATTTATTTAGGAAGTTTTAGATTAAATAAACAAAATTAGAAAATTTTCAGATGAAGTATTTTTAATTTTACCATGAAAACTTCTATGCACTCAGATTCCATATATTCACCCAAAAAAACTTTAGTTAAAAATCAGATCTTTCGTGTACAAGACTCATAATGTTTACTAAAAGCTTCTCAAATTTCATGAAGATGCACAAAACATATTAAAAATTATAGTATGGAAACTATGATGGTTACTTTGTGGTTACAAAGTTAGTCACATCAACTGACCCCATATGGAAAGAGTTAATGTGTTCTTTTTAAACTTCCATCTGTATCAATAACTTCTTTCTTGGAAGCTTGTGGTGTTTTTATGCTATAAAGTTGGTAATTATTTTTACGTTTTTCAAGTTGATGATGGAATCAGAAAAAATTTCAAAATGTTTGTAAATAAAAATTTTTTTAATATTGTCATGTTTTTAATATTTCTTATAAATCTTCGATTTCCACATATGAATCATCTTAATCACTCAAAAGCGGTTATCTCACAAGTTTTCTTGCCAAATAATAAACATTGTACTGTCTGTTTTCTAGGATTGGAGTGGATTTGTTTTTACTGCATTATAAATTATCTATCACAAAGTGTGGCAAGAATGTTTACTAGTTTTGTAACATGTAATCTAAGAACAATTATTTTTAACAATGAACTAGTTTATTCTGTAACAATGAACTAAAGCCAGATACCTCAGTACCCCTTTTTTTCAACCTTACTGATTGACTGGTTATGTAGCACCTATTACAATATTGGTAACCCTTTATTGGTCATTTGAGAGAAAAGTGGTAAATATATTTCCAGTTATTGTATAATGTTTTACCACACTTATTACCTCAACAAAAATAAAGCTTTACTAGATAAATGTTTTGAGATGACTTGACTGTCAAGCCATCTCAAAACATTTATTTTCTAAAAAGTGGGTTCCTCATTATCAAGTTTGAAAGCCTTACTAGATTCAGCCTTATACGTTATACGAGTAAAACCCTTCTGTAATTCTAGCTTGAACTTTCTTATTTCATAGATGTAATAATATGTATCATTATTACAAATTAATTACAAGTATGAATTGCCTCTTACCTTGTCAATTCTTTCCGGACTAGGGAAAAGCTGCCATTCAGTCTTTGCTGCATGTTCTACTGTTTTTAACATGTTTCTTTCTTTCAACAGGACATACCTATTAATGATTATGTATAGTTTAAATACTTCACTTTCTTTTTAATTTTATATAATTTTATCCACAGTTAATTAAAATAAATTAGATAGTTCATGTTCACTACACTAGTTTTAAATATCTGCTTATATCTCCCTGATTATCTGAGCACAAAATATCAAAACTATAAATCTTCTAGCTCATGATAAAGTCAAAATTTATCCAGTTGTCTTGTTTAGTAATTTTGTGATATTGCTATTATCTTATAAAACTATTATACCTAGGACTTTATCTTTTAATTTGAAAATCAATTGGTTACCCGTGTTTATTTTTAGTATAACTAGTTATAAATTACTGAACCACACATTACTAGTCATATTATGGAATATCATACTATTTTAACTAAATATTTTATTAACTTCTTTATATAAAGCAATACATGATGAATTGTTATATGTATTAACTTACTACTAAAAAATCAGTAAACATTACCAAGTCATGAAACACATCTCAATAAGACATAAGATAACAATTATGGTTTAATTTAGGAACTAACTTGGAAATGTAGAAGTGGCTTCAAGTTACACAAAGAAAAGTCTACCTTTCAATACTAAAAAAAAAATAAGCAAATCTGTATTAATTTAGACAAACCAGTAGAACTATATTTAAAAAGAAGCTCATGACGAAGTCATTTTGTATGTTCCCAAGTTCTTTTGCCAAATAGTAAATATTTTACTGTTTTTGTTTTTCTAGGATTGAAGTGAATACATTGTATTAGATATTATTTATAACACATTATGGCAAAATGTCACAACATGACAGTGATTATATTGTTACTGTTACCTATATTAATTTAATCAAGCCAGTATAACTATATTGCATACATACTACATTTATCACCATGTTCAAAATTATCCTGTCCAAATTATGATTAATAATGAATTACAGAGAGAAATAGCAGATATAAAATAATAAAAGAATGTTATGAAAAGAAGAATCAAATAATCTTTTTTACATATTACTTATAACTTTAATCATATATACCAGCATTTTCATGTAAACAGTCATCTTCCTGTTCATTACTTGAAGACTTAAAATAACTTTATGTTATGTTAGCCCACTATATTTATTTATTGTAATATACAAATTTCCCTCTTGGACTCTTATACTTAACTTTAAAGGAATACAGACATGCACATACAGCACACACAAAAGTAGTTTTCTGAGGAAAAGAAAATGGGACCACCTCAAAGACAATCTTGGGTTGGACAAAGACAAACAGCTATATGGATATTTTTATGACAAACTTGCTACTGTACTTATAAATGTGGTTGTATTCAAGCTGAAAATTTTAAAACAATCCAAGTTTATTTTTAGTATATAAATTCCAAAATTTTAAAAGATCAGACATTATGAGCACTTGTTCGAAGGAATACACAAATAGAGAAAATAATAATGAAAACCAAATACTGTGTGATACACAGCATGCAATACAATTATCAATTTCTTACTTTCTATGTCAATTTCATCATGAAGGAAAATATTACATTTTTCTTGAGAGTAATATTAAAATATGCCTGGGAGAGCCAGAAAGTATCAGTAGTAGTGGAAATTCCCAGAACATTAAAATATCACACTATACATGTTTTAATGCAAACTTGAAAATAATACATCAAACAATACATGACAATTATTATATTGTTAGTTACATTTTAGTAGCTTATTTCAGTTTCTATTTCTGTCATGACATTCTTTGGGAGTGAGAAAACTATATAAAAACCTCCATAGGCAATATATGAAATAATATAGGCAAAAGTATATGTTTATAATATGCCAAAAATCAACTTTTCAAACTGGTCTTTTTATAAAATATATATATATATATCTTTTTATAATA